GCTCTACGCCGGTATGCCCATCTCCGATGTCTTCCGAGAGGATATTGGCATTGGTGGTGTCATGTCTCTCCTGTGGTTCCGCCGCCGCCTGCCCCCCTACGCCAGCAAGTTCCTCGAGATGGTTCTCATGCTGACTGCCGATCACGGTCCCGCCGTCTCCGGTGCCATGAACACTATCATCACCACCCGTGCTGGCAAGGATCTTATCAGTGCTCTCGTTTCCGGTCTGCTGACCATCGGTTCGCGTTTCGGTGGTGCCCTGGATGGTGCCGCTGAGGAGTTCACCAAGGCCTTCGACAAGGGTCTGAGCCCCCGTGACTTCGTCGACAGCATGCGCAAGGAGAACAAGCTTATCCCCGGTATTGGCCACAAGGTCAAGTCCCGCAACAACCCCGATCTCCGTGTCGAGCTCGTCAAGGAGTTTGTCAAGAAGCACTTCCCCAGCACCAAGCTGCTCGACTACGCCATCGCTGTTGAGACCGTCACCACCTCTAAGAAGGATAACTTGATCCTCAACGTCGACGGCTGTGTCGCTGTCTGCTTCGTTGACCTCCTCCGTAACTGCGGTGCCTTCTCCCCCGAGGAGTGCGAGGACTACATGCGCATGGGTGTCCTTAACGGTCTGTTCGTGCTCGGCCGCTCTATCGGTCTCATTGCCCACTACCTTGACCAGAAGCGCCTGCGCACCGGTCTCTACCGCCACCCCTGGGATGACATCACCTACCTCCTCCCCACCCTGCAGAAGGGCGGTGCCGAGGGCCGTGTCGAGGTCAACCTGTGATTTTGTTTATGACGTTTTGCAGCGCCGTCCGCTGGCATATAGTCCGTCCGTTCAGGGCGGTGGAGTTCGGATGGTTCATCCCTTGGTTTTTCTTTTTTTATGTTTTCTGAGCAGTTATGTGTATCGATGTACCTGCGTTCATGTGGCATGACCAAGTTGACGGGTTGACACTCAAGAAGGGTGCAACCCGGCTACGGATCTGATTTAATTCGTTTTGCAGTAGATGACTAGACCTCTTTGGGAAATAATGAACGTGCCATTGCCGCATGATACTTTTTTTTCAGCGTAGTATGTACCTACATAGTAGCATTCGTCATAGTCGAAGTACACATTGGCCTTCTCCCCTCGAAGATGGACCGTGCCCCCGATTAGGAAAGATCCTTATCGCTTATCAGTCACAATCTTTTCTAGCCTCAACCTCAGCTTCAAGATTCACCCACCTTGCATTCTACCCAGCACACTACGTCTACACGCAGCTCTTATATAATCCGAACGAGCCACACAGTACCCTATCCATACTGCTTCCAAGCCGCCGCCTCCTCTCAACCCAAATCTCAATCACACCAACACCAACACCATCATGGTCCGCCTCAAAAACCGCTACCTTCTCGTGGACATCCTCTACCCAGACCCAAAAACCTGGCCCACAACCCCAGGAACAAAACCACACAACCCCCAACTAGCAATCCACTCCCCAACCTCCGACGCCCTAACCCAAGGCTTCCTAGCCAAGATGATCCGCGAGTCCGTGGCAGAGCTATACGGCGACTATGGAATCGGCAAGCTAGGCGGCGCCTCCGCCGGCGGAATAACGAGTGGGTTTCCATTTTCCAGCCCCAAAATCTATCCACAGAACCACCCACTAATCACATCCTATAGTAAAATACCTCTCACCAGCAACATCCACCGCTATCGTACGGTGTCCGCGCGCCTCCTTCCGCCTCGTCTGGTCAGCACTTACGTACATGTCCGGCGTGCCGGAGCCGGCGAATGGCCCGAAACGTGCGGGGACAGGCCGCGAGCGCGGGTGTGTTTTCCGCGTGATTCGGGTTTCGGGGACGATGCGGAAGGCTGAGGAGGAGGCTATTCGGAGGGCTAGGAGGGAGATTGTTCGGGTTAAGGATGCGGAGGAGAAGGGTGTTCTTGGGATGCTGGTTGGTGGGGGGTCTTCTGTTGTTGATTGTGTTATGGATGAGAGTGAGGATGAAGGGATGGATGATTGAGAGTGAATGAGGATGAGGATGAGGTTGGTATGTGTTGTATTGTACGTTTTCTTATACTTCTAATGAGATACCCCAGTCTTTAGTGCGTTAGGCTATGCGTGTTTATTTTCGGCTATCGTACATTTATCGTATCATATTTGGCGTTTAGAATGGCTGGGAAGTCCTTGGAATAGGATGATTACTTGCGGTGCACCCGCACGCCACTGTCTGGCATTTCCTTCTTCCACTTCTCCAGTTCCTCGTCGTAGTCATGTCCGTCATCCTCGTCGGGTCCGTCATCCACCGCACCTGTCGCCTCGACCTGGCTCGCTGCATTGCGCACACGGACTTCCTCCTCCAGATCCTTCACCTCCTGCTCATCATATTCATCCTTGGCATCCAACCAACGCTCCTGCACATCCCGCACGTCTGTGACACCCATACCTTCCCGAACAGCTACTTGCCAGACGGTATCGTTGGCGCCCTCGGCGGGACCAAAGGCATACCCGGACGCACGGTCGATGGCGCGCAGGAGACTCATCATACTCTTTTTGTCCTCGACGGCCAGCGTCTCGAAGGCAACGAGTCCGAATTCCTCGACCAAATCGATGATGGTCTGGTTTAACTTGCCGAATTTCTCGTGCGAGAACCGCGAGGACTCGCTTTCTAGTTCCGGTAGTAGGTAGGAAAGGTCCTGTACTTCGGTGTAGTATTCTAAGTTGAAGGGGAGCGGGGCGTAGTTGGCAAGATTGTCGATTTTCGTGAGGACATTGAGGTGTGGGAGGTCAAGTTGGAGCATGGCGCGGAGGGAGAGGAGGAGGGCGGAGATGTACATTGAGGGGAGGGTGAGGGTATATGAATCGACGAGATGAATGACGATCAACTGTTTTATGGGAGCTTGATTAACTGATGGTCCTTTGTATTGCGCTTAATCGGGCCTTGCTGTTACTAACCCGGATACCCATCTTCTGGATCTTGTAGAAGATATTGCGTAATGAGGCGTGGTGTGTAAATAGCTCGACTTGGCCGGGACAGTCGAAAAGAATATAATCATCTGAGAATTCATGAATATTAGAAATGTATACAACCGGAATATGTCAGACATACCGCCAAGCTCCTTCAGTCCGTTTTCCAGCCAGTCGAAGTTGTTTTCTAGCTCTTCGAGAGCATATAAGACACCACCATTTGGACCCAACTTGTCTTCTTCCATAATATCCTCGAGAGTAACTAGATCCCGTACATCCAGCGCGCATGGATATGAGGTCTTGTCGTTAGCGGGGTCAAGGTTGACGACCGAGCATTTGCGGCCGATTGCACCCAGGAACTGATGCATGCCATTGCAGTACGTGGACTTGCCAGCGCCCGGTGGACCAATCACCAGCTGTGCAAAGGGCATCTTGTCAATATCACGAAGATGTGAGAAGTTTTGTTTGTGCTGAAAGCAAATGATGTCAAGCCGTTCTTCTTTTTTTCCTTATCGATGCGGCGCGGGGAATCAGAGGGCGGTGACAATGGCAGAAAAGGAGACGGCCAAAGGCCCCGGGGAGCTTGGGGTTTGATCTTCTACAACTCCGCAGCTTGCACAAGATGGCTTCTCGTGAGTGGTTTCCGACATTAATTTCCATTCCATTTGAGCTATATCTAATTTCTTATTGCAGATCAATTTACTGTGGCATCCCCACCTACGGATGCTATCTCGGCCTTGAAGTTCTCCCCAGACCCCAACTCCACGCGAATTGTGGTTTCGTCATGGGATAAGAACGTGTACCTGTACGACTTGCGGGATGAAAATGGAAAGGTGGGAGAGGGAAAGTTATTGCAGAAGTTTGAGCACCGCGCTCCAGTACTGGACGTCTGCTTCGGCGAGAACGAGAACGAGATCTACACAGCGGGACTGGACTGGGACGTGAGGAAGTAAGTTACTTCCATTGAGTCCTGCTACTATTCCTGGCTTATACCAACTCACTAGGATCGACCTCAACACCTCCGAGCAGACCGTGCTCAGCAGCCACGAAGCCGGTGTGCGCCATGTCGTATTCAGCCGCGAGCACAACATCGTCATCTCCGCCTCATGGGACTCAACACTGCACATCCACCAGCCAGATGCTGGCGCAAACCCCGACTCCCTGCCGATCATTGTCCCCCTCCCGTCGAAGCCATTCTCAATCTCCGCAACCGCCACGAAGCTGATCGTCGCAATGGCATCGCGCGCATTGCACATCTACGACCTCAAAGCACTAGCCCTCCTCACTGCACAATCAGACAGCACAGCCCCAGGCGGTAATGTAGTCGAAGTTGAGCCCTGGCAGCGTCGCGAAAGCAGCTTGAAATTCATGACCCGCGCCGTTGCCTGCATGCCTGATGATGCTGGATACGCCTCGTCTAGCATTGAGGGCCGTGTTGCGGTCGAGTGGTTCGACCCGTCGCCCGAATCTCAGGCCCGCAAATACGCTTTCAAGTGCCACCGCCAGACTGCCGAGGATGGTGTGGACGTCGTCTATCCAGTCAACGCATTGGCTTTCCACCCCGTCTTTGGCACCTTTGCCTCCGGCGGCGGTGACGGTGTTGTTGCGCTCTGGGATGGAATCTCTAAGCGCCGTATCCGTCAATATCAAAAATACCAAAACAGCGTCTCGGCTGTTGCTTTCAGTGCCAGCGGCCAGCATCTGGCTATTGCAGTCAGCCCTGGATTCGAAGACGGCCATGACGAGGTCCCCGAAGGCACAGTGAAGATTTACGTACGGGAGTTGGGCGAGACGGAGGCTAAGGGCAAGGGCGCAAAATAGGTTCGGGAAAATTATTCTTTTCTTGATTCCATACTGAAATGAAGCGTCTGTCCAATGTTGATACCACACATGAAATCTAATAAAAAAAAATCCAAAACACAAGCGCAAGCATTCACTCATTTAATTCCAATCATAGCATTTTCCCAAGGTCTAACAAAAGGGGAAATCTTGGTATATCTACATTATCTACGTAGTCTCGTGTTCGTCTCCCAAAGTGCAACCACTAGACATCTACTCAGCCTTGCGAACAGAGACTGTCCCATCGGCCATACCGAAGTAGGCTGCAACAGGCCGCTCACCACCAATGCCACCGGCAGCAGTAGCCTGGGGACCGGTCTGGCCGTGGAAAATACCGACCTCAAGCACACCGGTAATCTCCTTGATCTTGCGAGCCAACACACCAACCGCCCACACACCATCCTTGCCATTACCATCCTGGCCAGCCTCGAGATCGGCCTTAATCAGCATCGGCTTGAAGGGAGCATCGATAATGAAGAAGCCCTGATCGGTCTTGAGGGGACCTTCCTTGGCGCTCGCGGACGGGCGGATGGCGGGGTTGACACTGCCGAGTTCCTGCAGCTTGCGGATAACGCGGTGGGCGGCGATCGGGGCGACCTCGATGGGGATTGATTTCCAGTTTGTGAGGAGACGGGGTTGGAGTTTTCGGTGATCTAAAATTGGGAGCATGGGTTAGTTGGGGGTATTATTATAGCAAAGAGGAACCAAAAAAACAAGCGGAAGAAAAAGGTCTACTTCCGAAGATCATCCAAACCAAACCCCATAGATACAATGCAGAATGAAAGTAATATTAGATTAGATCAGATCAGATCAGAACTCACCAGCAACACAGATAAACTCCTTGGCTTGCATAGCGACAATCTTCTCCTGGAACAAGCAAGCACCACCACCCTTGATGCAGTTCAAATCCTCGTCGACCTCGTCCGCACCATCGAACGCCACGTCGAGAACAGTGCCCAACGGAATGCTGTCATACTCAACAGCAGTCAATCCGGCACTGATAATCAGCTGCTTGGACTGGTAACCGGTCGGGATGTACTTCGTGGCGGAGGTGTCAACTCCGAGACCCTTGATGGCCTCAACGACGTACACGATTGTCGTACCGCTGCCGATACCGACCCAGCGGGCATCCTTGGGGTAGTGCTTTTCGACGGCGACCTTGGCGGCGGCGCGCTTGGCTTCTTCGACGGCGGACATGGTGGATTGGAGTCTTTGGTGACTTTGGAGGGTGCTGCGAAAAAGTGTGGGGATGGTGGGGAGGGTAAGTCTACGGCAGAGGAAAAGAGGGGAGATGAGGGCCGGTTGGAGCATGGAATCCTCTTTTATAGACGCTCTTTAGGGTAAAGTTGGTGGTTTTTTGAGGGAAAAGGAAAATAGAGAGCAAATGAAATTAAGCATAAAAATAATCTACCACCTTAGCTTGGTTAGAAGTCTTCTAGCACTATAAAGTCACGTTACAGTTATGGGGTTTAGCACTTGCAGGGGGTTTTTTTTTCTATAAAACTTAAGCCGAGATATTCTAATTAAATTCAAGGTTATATAGAATATTTTCAAATGATTATCGGTCTTATATTGTGCATGTAAGAGGAGATACAATGTCGGATCAACATACCCGAGTGGTACGGAGTATACACTCTATATACTCTTCATACAACCGAGGACAAGAATATCATATAATAGTTACATTTTTAAAGGAAAACTCCCTTAAATCCCATAGCAATAGACAACGCAAATGAAATATGCATATTCGAAAGATCCCTTAGCAGCATGGAAGCTGGCTATACCTTTTTCTCTCTGGCAATCTCCACAGCTCTCCACGGCTCATTTCATCCAAGAACTCCAAACTGAGAGTCGTAGTAGTTGGTCATAAACTAGGAGTAATTCCCGCAAATCTTCCTGGCAGCAGGCAGAACCTTAGCTATATAACCAATTAGCTGAAGCATTCTCCCCTACAAAGAGGACCATACTTAGAATAGTATCCATGCCACATTTATTCAAGGCGCAGCTTCCCCCAGCACTGTGAATCACAGGTCGGACCAAGCAGATACAGTGCCAGTTAACCTTTTTGCAGCTGGTTTTCTCCATTCCTTTTTCTAAACATGGAAGGACACAGGCAGGAAGATCCTCCCCTAGGGCATATGCCAGCGTAGCAAAGACGAGGACAACGATAGCCAATTTCATTTTGGATAATGTAGTCTCGTGAAATTGCTCAATTGATTTTCAGATGAGAGCAGTTGGTGCAATGTGACATTGGGGCAATGAACGGTATAAATATTTTGTGGACCACATTGATATAAGTACTAGAGTCTTGGTCGGGGTTCTCTTTCAGCTCTACCTTTCAGATGTACATCAATTGTACAATGTAGCTTGCCTTAATATTGTTCTTTTGCGAACTTGAAACTAAATAATGTTGATTCCCTGTCGATTTCGTTTCGACTACTCCATGGGGCCGCGATAGCCACTTTATTTACTAGGATTGTCAAAGAACTCCATATTGTTGCCACCGGAATTTCAAAAAGATCTGATTTATTTGTAATTCTAAAAGGAAAACGTCCTGGTGTCTAGCAAATTGCATGATCAAAATCCCATAAACACCCAGTGAGGCTCTTCATTGCAGCCTTGATTGTCAGGCAATCACATGCGCTTACTAAAAACAGTCGCGCATCAACAAGTCGACATCCACTACTCCATCATTTGGGAACTTGCATGATTGGAGAGCAGATACCGTGAGCAACACGAGAAGAATCACATACCGATAAACGGGAAATGGTTTGACCCTCAAAACAAAGCTCTACCACTTCCCCCGCACTACTTGATATCCACCATGACGGATGCCTTCCCCGCCGCCCTGACAGGGCCAACCTCCAAGGAGCGCAAATATGATCGTCAGCTCCGCCTGTGGGCAGCAACTGGCCAACAAGCACTTGAGGACTCTCATGTTTTGCTGGTGAATTCTGATGGCCCTCTCGGCCAATACAACACCGGTGTCACCGGCGTTGCCGGCGTTGAAACACTCAAAAACCTTGTACTGCCCGGAATTGGTGGTTTCACCATCGTCGACCCAGCAATAGTCACCGAGTCTGATCTAGGTGTGAACTTCTTCCTGGAAGAAGAGTCCCTGGGCAAGTCCCGTGCCGAGGAAACCTGCCGACTGCTGAAAGAACTGAATCCAGACGTGGAGGGACATTACTATGCCAAGGTATGATTTCCCATGTCTGTAAAGTAGATGTTCGTTGACTAACTTCTGAAAAAGCGCGTCGAGGAGCTTCTCACAGACCCTGACCTCTTGTCCCAGTACAAGCTGGTGATTATTTCGGGTCCCATCAGACGCTCGACACTAGTACCTCTGATCCAGGAAGCAAAGCAGCTGGGTATCCCCGTTTTGTACCTCCATTCAGTTGGGTTCTTCTCCACTTTTTCCGTGCAGTTGCCGGCTGAATTCCCCATTGTTGAAACACACCCGGACCCAGAATCAACCCAGGACCTGCGTCTGCTAAATCCCTGGCCTGAGCTTGTTGCCGCTGCAGCAAACTTGGACAACCTGGACACCCTGGATGACCATCAGCACGGCCATGTTCCATACATACTTCTCCTACTTCACTTCCTGGAGCAATGGAAACTGTCCCATGAAGGTAACGCACCGAGTAACTACAAAGAGAAAACTGAGTTCAGAGAGTTTGTGCGGTCCCAAACGCGCACTTCTAATCCAGAGGGCGGCGAAGAGAACTTCGATGAGGCCGTCGCTGCTGTACTGAAGACAATTTCACCATTCAGCCTACGTAGCTCGACCCGCGAGATCTTCGAGATGAACCAGTGTCAACAGCTGTCATCATCATCCCAAGAATTCTGGGTTATTGCCTCAGCCATCAAAACCTTCCACGCATCTCACGGCGTCCTCCCCCTCCCAGGCTCCCTACCAGACATGAAATCCCAGTCCGCAGACTACGTCTCACTACAAAACATCTACAAGGCCAAAGCACGACAAGACGTGGAAGAAGTGACAGCAACAGTACGCCAGCTCGAATCCAATCTCAGACGCCAAGCACCTGCAATCCCAGACCGAGACATCGAAGTATTCTGCAAGAATGCCGCACACATTAAAGTCGTGCTCGGCCGCGATATTCCCCAGATAAGCATCGACAGCGACGCATCAACACTGAAAACCATCCGCAACCAGCTTAGTGACCCGGACTCGCTGATCCCGATATTCATCGCGACGCAGATCCTTGACTCGGTCGTGGACGAGATCCAATCCAGCAGCCTCGAAGAGGACCGCTCTGTTGACGACGACGGGTTGTGGAACAGCCACACGGAACGCATCCTGGCTCTGCTGACCGCGGCGGATGGATCGGCTGTTTGTCAGGAGGCGCGCGCGCAGATCGCCCGTGCAATTAAGGAACTGCGTCGGGCTGAGGGCGGCGAGTTGCATAATATCTCTTCGTTGACAGGGGGCTTGGTTGCACAGGAGGCGTTGAAGGTGATTACTCGGCAGTATGGTCCGCTTGATAATACTTGTGTCTTTGATGGGGCCAGGAGTAAGAGCGAGATGTATAAGCTGTGAGTGGAGGGTGGGGTTTGCTATGGACGTGCCGGATGATTGCATTGCTGTATGCAAATGCAAGGCTCCAGGTACTCGTCGAATTTGTCGAAATTTTACTCAAAGAATGTTATGATTTATGATCCAGTGATATTGTGGTTTGTAGATATCAATGAGTAGTGTCCGACTATGTAAATGACTTGGTACTCTGAAGTAGCTCAGAAGATATGTGCAAACTAGCGAGATTAGGTCATTCTTTCAGTGGGAATGCTGAGGCACTTTTGTGTTGGTCGTAGTATGGGATATGTAAATCGTTGCTCCAATGTGTGTAGCCAGACTGGGCCCAAAACGAGAGGGATTTGTCTGTTCAAGTGCGGTGACCAGTGAAGGAGATCCTCGCGAGAATAACCACAATTGCTCCAACAACTGCGGAGAGCATTTTCAGCTCTCGGTGTGATCCACCATCAAGCATAGATGATACAAGATGGATATATCAGCCATGTCTGTAGTCTATGCACGGCTCGGATGCACAAACGAAATTTCCGTTGCAGGCCATTGCTATCTTCACTTTTGTATACACTCTCCAGCGGCGGAGGTGTAATCTGCCAAGGGGTGTTATGAAGAATCGAGTCTCTCAACGTTTCCTCGGTTTCTGATTTGCACGATTCCGCTTAGAGCCCTGAGGTACACCCTTGTTCTCATACAGCTTCTCCTTCCCGAACGCCGAATCAGCAACTCGCAAGTAACTAATCACACCCTGATCAACAACAGCCATGACGACATTGCGGTATCCGTGCCGCAGTCTCATGTACATCATACGGTCCATTTTCTCCCCACGCGGAGGATCAAGTGGCGTGCTTTCAAGCAAAGCACCGAGTTGTGTCATAGTGGGCATGGTGGTCTGGTCGCGTGTGCTGACGACTGCGATACGGAAATCTGGAGTTGGAAGTGCGGACTTTTTGAAGGGAGTTGAGGGCTTGTAGATGTGGAACACGACGCGGAAGGGGGGTGTAGTATCAGATGGGTGTCTTTCGGGCGCGGCGACTGGGTCGTACCAGGGGATGATAGCGAGCTTGCGGTATACATCCACTAAGAAGGGTTGTCAGTAAGGAGGGCTAAGATAGTTACCGCAGAAAGATATGTGTGACTAACTGTAATGACGATGAATGCCAGTGCCGATGATAGGGCCAGTTGCCGTGGAGGCTGTCGAGCGAGGGTCATGGATCCAGTTAAAAAGTGATCCAAGCATACCAGCCAGACCGGGGCCATGATGCTTAGGTGGTGTTATTTCACTAGCATCTGTGGCATCCGAATCCTGCTGCTCCATGTCATCGTACCACCCGGGCGCTCGAACCAGCGCATAGCCCAGACGCCTGAGACTAGTATAAACGGAGTACCGCTCCAGTGTCAGACCACCGCGGCCCATAAAGCATGCATATGCAGCCTGCAAGCTCATAGGGACAGAGAGGTCTTCTTCTCCTGGGCCTGCGGCGGACTCAGATGGGCTAGGCCATCTGATATCCAGACTTCCTCGCTCGATGAGATATAAGGCTTCCTCTGGCAATATCCAAACACGACCTGACGAGTCTGCCTGGCCCATTGTCTTAAAGAATTGACCCTTGGGGCTGGGCACGTAGACGCATGCATCGGGGGATATTCTGGCGGAATTGGGCAAAGGCCTCGCCGGTTTAGTGGTAGACTCCGAGCTCTTTCCATCTTCTCCGCCAGCTTTCGGTGTCGCACGATCGGGCTGGGCTGGAGGAACATACCCATCGGGTGCGTAGAAAGCTATGACACGAGTTTTGGCAGCGTGGAGACGGGGATATGAGAGCGCATTGTGCATGGCCCCTCGCGAAGCGGAGAGCACATCGGCTTGAAGTTCTGTCGGATTGGGCTCAAAGTCCTTCTCGCCGCGGCGCGGAATACCCGGGGATGAATCGGCAAAGCTTTAGAGGGAATGAAGGTAAGCAATGGGTAATTGGGTAATTGAAGGAACGGTCGAGGGCAATAGACATTGGGTTCGCCATGTCATAGGAATAGGTTATGTTCATACAAATTCAAGTGGTTTAAGAAGCGGAAATCCTGCGTCTCATCGGATAGGTCGACCTCAGGCTGTGCAGAGGCATTTTCAGGGGCGCGAATAGCGTCCTCGTCTGCGTCTGCCATATTGAATTGGTTGTAAAGAATAAATCAGAGGCTGGAAGTTCCGACTCAGAGTCGGAGGGGATTAGAAAACGTGCGCTTATCGATAAGCGGGTATTTTTTTCGTCCGGCAGAATTATATCGACATGTTGTTGACCAGAGGATTTTCCTAAGATCATCAACCTTGAAGGATAACATGAATCTACAAATAGCCTTGAAGTGGAAATTCTCTTGCAAAGCTAATCTCGTCTGTTAACAACATCTGAAGCGTTGATATTTGATTGTCAACCTATCAAATATTATCATCCAAATATAAATACCCAGCCTACATTGCTGGTCCTCTCTATTGCTTTTCCAAGATCACAACTTGACTACCATAGTCACCCTTGAAGGGGAATTGCAGACCAATGTTCATCAAGGTTCCACCGGAGTAAACCACACCCTCATCAATCTTATAGGAAGCCTGCGCATCCAATCCTTGCAACCTAACACGCGGCCATGAATGATCGACATTCGGGGCGAGTTGGAAGACAAACAACACAGCTTTCTGACCATCCTCGGCGATGAACAAAACAGCAGGCCAATTTGAGTCCTCTGGAAGGTTCAATCGCCACATATCACCATTAAGAACAATTGGGTTCACCTTCTCAGCGAGAGCAATGAGCCCCGGCAGAGCTGCCTTGTCATCAGCATTCATTACAGCCGGATTGAGTTCCAAGCCAAACGAGCCGCCCATCATAGCAACATGTCCGCGGACAGCCACGGGGACTGTGCGGCCAGTCTGGTGGTTCGGGACTTCGGACAGGTGAGCACCCATCGCGCTGGGCGGATACGCGAGCGAAGTGCCAAACTGGATGGAGATGCGATCGATTGCATCTGTGTTGTCCGATGTCCAGACCTGCGGGAAGTACTGCAGAATACCTGGGTCGAAACGGCCTCCACCCGACGCGCAACCCTCCCAGAGCACATCGGGGAATTGGGTTGTTAGTTCATCGAAAACGCGGTACATGCCAAGAATGTAGGCGTGGTTTGTGGCTGGGGAAGGCATCTCGTGAATGCCTCTGTTGTTATCCCACTTGACGTAACTAATATCTGCACTCTTGAGAACATCCGAGACAGCCTTGATGATGAAGTCTTGGACTTCAGGAAGAGCGAGGTTCAACACGAGCTGGTTGCGTCTTTCGCTGCGAGGGTAGGGTCCTGCATGTAAGACCCAGTCCGGGTGCTCGTTATACAGAGTCGAGTTCGGATTGACCATTTCCGGCTCGAACCAGATACCAAAGCGCATATTCGTTGACGAGTTAGCGGCTTTTAGGTCCGTGATCTTCTTCACAATCGGCTCCAGGCCGTCTGGGAACCGGTCAGGGTTTGGAATCCAGTCGCCCAGTCCAGCATTGTCGGAGAGACGTGGGTATTCCTTGCCGAACCAGCCGTCATCCAGAACGAAGAGCTTGGCGCCTACTTCGGCAGCTTCCTTTGCCAGGTCGTAGATGCTACTCTGGTTGTAATCGAAATACAGTCCTTCCCAACTGTTCAGCAACGTAGGACGATCACTGGTGGCAAACTTGCTCTTGATGAGATGGTTGCGGTACAAGCGATGCAGGGAGCGCGACATTCCACCGAGGCCATCCTTAGAGTATACCGAGACACACTCCGGGGAAGTAAGAGTCTCCCCAGGGGCCAGATTCCACGAAAGCTGGCCAGGGTTGAAACCCAGCAGGGCACGCGTGAAGCCCTGTGCGCCCTTCTCGACGTTCACGGAGAATGAACCCGTGTACACAAGCGAGAATCCCCATACCTCTCCCTGGGACTCAGTGGAGGAGGGGTCTGCCAACGCCAGGAAAGGATTATGAAGGTGAGAGGAGTAGCCATTGGAACTTCCAAAGCCTTGGGTACCGTACGTGACCCTCTTCCTCTCGCGATGCGCTTCTCTCGCCCAGTCTCCTCGAAGACTAATCATGTCCAGTTCCTCAAACGGCAAATCTACGCTCAGACTGGCCAGAGACTCGATTGTGATATTTGCCTTTCCATGATTCGTGACATTCACACTGCGCACAATGGCATCATGCTTGGGGAAAATGGAGTAGGAGAGGTCCGCGGCCACATCGCTGTACTTGTCATATAGACTGATGACCAAGGTGCTCACATCTTCTTCTGTGCCCGTAGTGGCTGGCAACCCAGGCAGGGCAGGCTTTCCAGGGATGATCTTATGCGATTTGTACTGGAATTCAGATACGGTATACCCTTCTGACTGACGAATGCGAATCGCAGGGGTCCGGAAATCCCCTCGACCTTGGTCTGGAAACTCGCGGCGTACACGTCCTATATGACTATTCCAGCCATTAACGTCGCCTACAGTTTCCAGAGGGATATTAGCTCCGACAGAGCCGCCGAAGTGGTCTCCCAGGAGATCACCAGTTGTATTGTCCACATGGATGCGGTACGAAACAGTGTTTCCATTGAGAGCAAAGAAAGTACCGTCCGCCGCGATTGCTATATTAAACGTGATCAGGTTTGGAAAATTCAAGACAGAAATAGAGGACTCACGCTTTGTGCTTAATTCCTCAGCCATAACACCGGAGGAATGTCCAAGTAGAGCAAGGCCTGCGGCCACTGCAACACCTTTTGATAAGTAAACCATTTTGCTGTGCTACTGACAGAATTCAAGTCCAGAACCAGGGAAATACATACTTATTTATATCCTTTACCCCGATGTCTTTTCCCCGACTTGTGGGGAGGTTACATGCAGGTATTCCAAGGTTGGCTCGGACTATGTAGATCTCAATCAAGTAGAATGGGCCTCAGTTGCCAAGAACAGACTTCTACCAGTCTGTTGAATTATAACTAGTGAAATGCCGATCAAAAGATAACTTCGGCGATACCCACAAGTATATATGCTGGGGCTTATTATTGTGGAGTCGTAAACGCGGAGTAAGCCCCGGGATACTCCGTGTCGCGGGCGGTTTTGAACGTCGCTCATTGGTTTTTGCTTTCATTCCCGACGCAGTCTGTTAACTCCTCAATGCTCTGGCCCTTTTTTCTTTGGGAATAATGAGACCAGCAAAAGCCTGTTCAATATGTCGGTAAGCAATTCATACCCCGACCCAACAGACCCCGTACTCATATGTGGTAGTGAACGTCGACGAAAGTGCGACATTCCAGCACCTGGTCACGCATGTGTCTATTGCTCCGCCCGGAGTTTAGATTGTACTCGGAGGCACATCTCCGTGCCGAAAGGGCCTTCTACGCCAAAAGAAACGACGGCGGGCACAGTGTCTCTACCCGAGAAATGCACTTTACCAGATCAATACATCTGCGCGGAATTAGTGGAGCTGTATTTTGATTATGTGCATGATAAGTTCCATTCTCTCTTCCATCGACCAAGTCTGATGGAAGACTTGCGTCGGGGACAAGCACCCGAGAATTTAATATACGGGATTCTCGCATTATCGGCACGGTATGTCTTCTACTCGGCCCGAATGCATATCTAAATCTGACTTGCATAGATTTTCAAATCACCCTTCCTTCGCTGAAACAGATCCTCGAGAAAGAGGGAAAGACTATAAAAAAAGATGTGAGCAATTGCTCAACTTGAATGATGTCTCTTTGACAACAATCCAAGTTTGTGTTTTGCTCGGCGCTATTGCTGTAGTAGATGGAAACCCCGCCTCGGAGACCATCTACTACTCAATTGCATGCCGTATTGCCCAACTCCTTGATCTTCCGAACTGCCATGCTTCAAGTCGTGTGGAGCAAGAAGTCAACATAAGAGGTCTGTAGTTTGTATTGCCAAAATCCTCGAAATTACCCACACATCTAACATCCAACATAGTATGGTGGACTCTCTGCATGATAGACGTCTGGTCCTCAGCAGGAGTCCGACTCCCACGACTAATGACCCCCCAACCAAACGTCCCCCTTCCAATGAATGAAGCAACCTTCCTCTCCATGACCCGCGCCCAAGGCTTTACAGTATTAGTCTCAAACGACCGTGCCTCATCCCTGCTAGCACAGATGGTCCTCCTAAACCGAATCCTCTTAGAAATCAATGACTTCAACACCAAAGCCGCCGAAACAACCCTCACCGAAGAATACATAACAAAAACCATCTCAACCCTCTCCACAAACCTCTCCACCTGGCTCAAAAATTTACCCCCACACATGCACGACACGCCCTCCAACCTCCAATCCTACGCCTCCCAAGGCCAAGGCCACCTCTTTATAACCCTCTACCTAGGCTACTACCACTACGGCCAAATGCTCTTCTACCGCTTCTTGCACGAAGACGTCCGAGGCTACACGCCCCGCACGCACTTCTACGCACAGCAATGCAAAGAACACGCCGTTCGGCTCTGCGAGATGATCTACCGCTCCGAGGAAGTCCCCGGCTGCGCCGTGCTGTACAATATGGTCGGCCATGTACTCGTTATTGCCTCGACGGTGCAGATCCATACGTTGCTTTTTGGTGATGAGGGGAGTGTTGCTCGAGCGAGGGCGAGACTAGAGAGGAATTTTTGTATTCTGACTAAACTGCGTGCGCTATGGCCTACGCTTGATGTCTGTATGGAGCGATTGCAGGCTTTTCATCGGGCTTGTAGGAGCTCGGTTGATACTAGTTTTTGTATGGATCGGTGGATGGTGAGGTTTTTGGTTGAGTTTGCTAATCCGGTTAGAGATAAGGACGGGGTTGTGGATGGGCCTTGGGCTTTGGAGGAGATTGGGATTTGTTAGCTATAACAATGAGCTTAGCAATGTTAGTTCAATGTCAGTTGTGGATTAAGTTGAGGTCGAGGTTATGGATATAGTTGAAACCAGGCGGTGACGAGAGCGGTCAATCTAATATATATCGTATGTTTCATGGATGATGCCCCTCAAATTGAGCTGTTTACCGATTTTCAAAATATAAGGCACATTTGTTGGATCATATCACATGGAGCAAAGAAATCAAAATATCGTGGACTATAACGAAAGTTTGCGCAAGGTATGTCGCCCAATACAGCCACCAAATGCAGGAAATAACAAAAGATAGATATCGAACAGCTTGGAGAATGCCCTTAAGACCTTTGGACCTTCCTCAAGGCAGTATCAGACGATACTTGAGATGTTGAAAGAATGTCTCCGGGACATTGAGAACGAGAGCCAAAAGCAGAGCAAAGCCCAGGTGGTTGACGCAGACATGCTAAGCATTGCCATGGGATTTTTAGAGATTGGGAAATAAAGCTGAATGTATAATATAATAAGCACAAAGCTATTCAATGCCGAGAGAAGAGTCTTGGAGCTGGAGTGAGAAATAACAGAAGCAATGTACATAAGACCAGAAAGTGCAAGACCAACGCCTATACTCTGGGCACTTCCTAACTCTGAACAAAATCTACCAAAAAGAAAAAGCGAAAAAGCGAAAAAGTGAAATACAAATGACAATATACATAGTTACGAGGATAGATGATTCCTGATTTCTGAATCTATAGACCCATATATCACACAAATCCAGGTACGTGGGTACATATTGATACAAATTGTATCGCCATTGGGACAGATGCGTCAATGTGCAGATGAAATAATCACCAAATAGCCAAACAAGACCAAATGCACGTATGTAGCGGGGGAAACACTGGACAGAAGTCAAGAGAGGCAATCTAAACAGGTCGCTCAAACACCCCGTGAACCCCCGTTTCCCCCACAGATAAACAGTCCAGCTTCCAGGAAAGCCATGCAACCAACTCCAAAATGTATGCAATCGTAAGACATGTCATGATATAGCGTGGTTGCGGAGCCTTCAGCCTCCGCACCAGCCGGGGACATCAAAAGTAACGGCAGCCGTCGGTCCCCGTTTGTGGGAATACCGTTCAGGAGCTCCGGTATCAAGACGGAGGGGATTTATTAAATAAGTTTCATCGTTGTTAGTGTGGAGAGTTCCTCTCAGTCAATCAACGGTTTCTTCTGGTTGCCGACAATAGCGGCGCCTATATGGCTGAGGGCGTTGTGGTCGTTTGGTCGTACAATTGCTGGAAGTGGCAGCATGGGGTTGTCCGGGTTGACGTGTGCAGCGTCTCGTGCGGCTTGCTCGATCGCTTCCATTTCTTCTTTGCAGCCGGCGTGGTCGAGGGGGCAGACCACGATTGGTTGTCGGATGGTAATGTCTCTTGCGGAGGTTAAGTGGGCCTGCTGTGTGTGAGTTTGGAGATACTATACTATGAGAACTAGGGCAAAACGAACCCGAACTGTGAGGTAGTACTCGATTTTATATAGGCTTGCTGTGGTTGTGAAGCCGCTCACGCCGTATGTTGGAAATGCCGATCTACTTCTCGGCAGGATTCCTTCTGCGTCGCGGAGATCCTTGGCGGGGAATACCAAGCCTAGGTTTGTTAAATAGCCCGATTGGGGCAGTTTAACGCCAATGTTCTCCGTTTTCTTGGCTAGAACTTTGACTTTGCGCTGAGGCTCATCGCCTTCGTGGTTGTAGATGATTTCCTCGTCGATGCCGATGGTGATCTTGCTGATGGTCACTTTGCGCGCCTTGCTCATCCAGCTCTCATTCGGTGACAGTTTGACGTAGACGCTGACGGGATCGAGAGGACCATAAGACCACCGTGGTAGTGAGATGGCTAATGTGACCAGATGATCTGATACGCGCTCCGCCGACTCCGGACGATTGTACATGCCGAATGTGGAAAGCGTGTCGTAGCGCGCGATAGGGACGGGGAAGGTGTATTTGTGCTGCTGCTGTTGCCCTTGTTGGACCATCACCACCATCTCGTAGTATGTTTCGGCGGTGCGACTTGGGAGCTGTACACTAGCTGGTGGTACACGGCGAGAGGCATCACGGCCCCCACGACCAAATGGAATAAAGAGAACGAAGGGCAGATCCATAGATATTACTTCTTCGTATTCTCGGCCGGCAGGACATCGGAATAGGAGCATCTCTTTGCCAACGATATCGGATATCTCTTTCCGGGGCGGAGCTAGGCGCTTCTTTGTGAAAGTGTCGGCCGAAGGGTGAATGGTCTCGCGGCGGAGGAGGGAAATAGTGACGAGTGAGACGTTGACCGGAGCTGTAATGCCAGCGCAGGGTCTGATTTCAACTTTACCCTCAATTCGTGGCTTGGATAGTCAGTCAATGGGGCCGCGTGAGCAGGGGCCAAATCGGCTCGTCGCATGTATCGCAGGGCGCTTACCATGGTCGCAGAAATGCCTGGGTATCCGATCAGAAAATTGCCATTCGCCGGGCCTGATACGCGCACAAAGGCGGCCATCTCGAGTCAGCCGTGCCTGTCGCACCATAGACATGCGGAGGTTGGTTGAGTTGTGGGGAATATGCGAGTGGACGGGGAATCCTTTCGCAGGGTTCATAAGGGTTCGGCGGTGGGTTGGGTAAACTGCGTGGATGTATAGATCTCTTGAATGACAGAGATTAAAAGAAGTCGAGGAGTGTAAGTTGTCCAGAGGTATAGAGGTTTAGAGGTTCGAGATAGGAGAAGTGAAGGAGCCGAGCTTCCAAAAGGTACAGTGGTTGTGGTGGGGAAAGGTGAACAGAGCCCGCCCCAACAGCCACAATTGACTTGAGCCTCTAGTTTTTGGGTTTACTGGGCTCTTTCGGGGTTGTTATATATCTTAAATGATCTAATACAATATAATAACAATATAGGAAGATTTTCTAGACTTCAGATATCTAGTATATGTACGCAGACGTAATGGTTATCGCGTGGACAATGTACTCCCAGTTTCCAATGTCCATGTCATCATCGTCATCACACATGGTAAATACATAGGAACAATCTGTTAGCATTTCCGGTTGAGGTCCGTATAGACTTCCTGGGCTGGTTAATTCGGGAATACTCCATCTTGATCTCCTAAAAGTCTGATTATGTCAACCATCGAGACATTCCCTTCGTCGCCTAAGTATGATACCAAACTATCAGTGGAGTAAAATGAACGAATAATGGTATGAAGACTTCTTAGAAGCGGATTTCCGCCCGACCATATCGCCCTCCAAGAAAGACAAAAATAAGCCCTTGATATTCTCTGGAAGACAGCTATTCTTCCCACTCCGCTATCTCTATTGATCCGGTCGAAAACCTTCAATTCCTCTCTTCAAATCAATTGATCTCCTTAGAATCAGCAACCAAGACAAATTGACTGCAGTGATGAAATGGAAGTCTTGTGTGTTAAGCACAGCATCTTGCATGTTACGGAGTTGGACAGGAACGTCGAATAGAGCACAATATGGCATTGTTATTGGGGCACTATCGATTATAGTTTAGTCACATCTGAATGTACAGCAGTCTTCTTGATAGATATAATAATCACCATGCGTACTTCTCCATTAGAGGCTCCGAACCACCTTCAAACTCAGACCAGCAGTTCTTCAGGTAATCATGGTTCTCGAAGAGTCGTTCGGAGATGTGGGGGGCATGGCATCAGGCGAAAAAAGTCCAGAATCAGCGTGAGGTAGTAGTAAGGAATCGACAGCGGGTTCCATATTTATGATGCTACAAAAATAGTCGGCCGCGTTTGCGGCATTGTGACGTCTTTTTGTATGTCTTTTTGAATTTCTGCTAGATATATGTTTTTATCTTCTATTAGTAGCACTGTCGACTTCGGTATACCGAATTCCCCTTTAGTTACTATACTGCCCAGATACCATTCCCTGTTATACACTTTGTTTTGACTGTATTTGTAAAGAACACTAGTTTATAGGCCAGTTCCTGTTGGTTAGGCGAGGTTATAGTGGAGACAGGAGAGCAACGTCTTGTATTATGTATTCACGTGACTGAACTGAGCATGATCACTGACCTGAGTCCGTGCTGACATCTACTCAGTGAGCTTCCAAGAGCCTGAGCACCCTCATACAAATAGGAAAGCCCCAATGTATTTAGATGGATTTATATGCTAATTGTATACATTTTGTATCAAAACATGAAAATTCCCTTGGAACCATAGAAGACTAAATTCCGGAACTTAGATTTCCCAAGGTTGGTTGCCAGTGCAACCATGACATCGCCTCCCTCTCTACCCAACTTCTTCAACATTGTATATCCCCATATCTCAACGTCAAACTACTACATTCTACATCATTATGCCTCGTCGTGCAGCAAATAAACCTGGGTCACAGTCGACACTGTCCTTCGGGGGCAGAGTCACCAAACCAGTCACCGCACCATCCCACAAAGCCAAGGCCCTCGACTCAACTCCAGCGCCCTCCGACAAGTCTGCCTCCATCACTCCGGAGCCCCAGCAGCTGTCTGTTACCCCAAATGAGCCCTCCAAGCCCCATGTTGCAGAGCTAGCGGTGCGACAGCAGGCCACAGTCGAACACCAAGCGCCCCGGTCTGAAGAGGACAAGCGGGCACTGAAGTTGAGCAAGCAGGATATCTGGCGGTACTGGCGGGCTCAAGAGCAGACCCGCAAGGCACCTAGGGGTAAGTCGAAGCTGCCACCCGGGCCATTAGTATGAATTAAGAGGCTAATTTAACTCAATAGCCCACCAGGAAGGCATGGATGTAGAGGAAAAGATTCTCCGGCATTTTGATCTTTCTAGCCAATATGGGGTATGTTGTCTGAGTCTGCGAGGGAGCTCTCCTATAAAAATAAGCTATCTAACGCAATATCTATCTCTTTAGCCCTGCATTGGAATCGCCCGGGTCAAGCGCTGGAGACGGGCTAATCTGCTGAAGCTCAACCCGCCCATCGAAGTTCTTGCAGTTCTTCTCAAGGGGAAGAATACAAACGAGCGAGCACATATTGATGAATTGTTATCCTGAGGACATATGCGAATGTTTTTTGTATTGGCGTTGACAGACCTGCATAGATTAGGCGTTGGGAGGTATTAATGAGATATGACGTATGGGTATTCTCAGGGTTCAAACCGTTGTAAATTCAATTTCAGCAATCCAAGGCTAAATGGAGGAATAACTTCTACTTTCAAGAAAATAATTGTCTTTCATTGAGACTTCCATGTAAGCCGACGGAGGCCGCTTTACACCGTCTCCGGCAAATTGAATTTAAAGAGTTGCCCAGGTGGCAATTCTCCGCTTATACGGCGTCTATACGATAGAATGCCCGGTCCTCGTCAAGACGCTGTCGATCCTCATTTCAAGCTCCTATTTAGAAAGCCCTTCAAGATATATCAGAATGGCTATAATTATCTAGGATTGGAGATCAAAGACCAGGATGTGATTAATGAAATCTCATTTCGATTCAGGTCCGTGTTATCCCCGGATTCACACAATGGGCCTATCCGGGGACCCCGCGATATTTGCCATAGTTGCTTTTTTCTCCAACTTGACTGCATCTCTGTTATCTCATTACTAAGAGTGTACATGACTCCTTACATGCACAACAGATGCAACATGAGAGATATATATAACTATGTATGATTACTATTATCTTTTCCGCTACAAGGGTTTTTTGCCTCGACGCCTCAACAGTCATTTTGCCATTGGAATGAAAGTCTAAGCCTAATTTGGACATTTCACCCGGCCAGTGCGCCTTTTTTCTTTCTCTTCTACGGAGTAGTGGGCGTCAAGTGGCTGGACAAGATCTCACCGGGCACAGGGTCTCGTTCGCTCAAGTCCGCGGTGGCGACGCTAATCAGAACTTGTTTCCCATGTGATCGGTGCTTTTTGTGCTTTTTGTGCTTTTTGGTTCCTAATTTCCTGATATTTCTGGTCATTGACTCCAACCCCACGCTGCAATAAGTACTAGCGTGGGTCAAAGACAGAGCATCCGGTGTAGCCTGCGTCTTGACTGGGCCCACCCCCGCTAAATGTCTCACTTTGGTGAGCTATGGGGGACCTTTTTGGAGGCCATTCCTGCCCTACGTCGGTGCCAATATCCTTTTTTTCTTGGTGGAAAAGAACACCGAATGGTTCATACAGAAGTAACACATCTTAACTCTGTTGCCACTGAAGGCGATCTTCTATGCAGGTACAATATTTTACGATCTCTCGGGGGATGACAACATTTCGGTAACCCAGTTTGTGGCTATCCCTGGAGATATCAAATGATCATCAAGCCCACTGAAACTCTGGAGGGGGCCGGGATGTCTTTGAGACCTTTATCTGGCCCAAATAGCTACTATGTTGTACGTACAACGTTGTACATCAATGAGCCTGACATTGGACAATTTCCGTAGCTCACAAGGTTGTTGATCATGCCCTGAGTTTGGACCCTTTTGAGAATGTATTATTTGAGGAACTATGTGGTGTGTTACCCCAATGACTGTGATATTATATGTACTATAATATATAATATAATAATAATAATATTTATATTATTTTATATTAAATGCACATCCATGGATTGCGTCGGACCAAGTCCTAAAAGTGGTATAGTCTGATACTACGCTCTTCGGGCCTGGGGCCTGCCGGGGTCCAACTATCTTCCCCGGATTTTCTTGTTCACCAGGATGTTATGGGGTTCGCCACCCTTCTTTCTTCGATTGCCAATCATTCTATCATGCATTCGTGGTTTTGAGCACACGTAACTTCCATACGCTTTAGTTCTGCTTTCTAGTAACCCAAGGTTCTTTGTAGTGGGAACGCTGCACAACCTACCATGTACGAAGTACTACAATCTGTACCGTATCTTCGCCCATCAAGGTCGAAGAGTCTAGCTCGACACAGTGGAAATTAAAGCCAATGACCGTGTTCGTATACCTAGCTTCAACTGGGAAGTGTAATACCAAAGCCACTGGTCCAGCTGTTCCGGTGGCTTCCTCGTTCGTCCTGGTCTAGTCTCAACTTGGCGATGCGGGCGTACGTACTCCGTACGAGACAATAGGGCCCTCCATCCTCGCTCCAATACTCAATCGGCTGCGGGAACCCAGGATCCGGCGTCCGCCTTCAGCCTTGGCTATGCAATGAGCGTCCGGGGTTCCCAATCTGTAGTAATTGCGGGTCTGAATCAACCGCGGCCTTGACCTATTTTTCGGTGGATTGCCTCCCATTAAGCATCCGGAGACATGTGATGGTCCCACGCGCCTTGTTGGTGCAACCCTGCCACAGGGGTTTCTCCATGGGGGAGGTGGAGTATACAGGACTGGCAAAGCTTATAAAAAGGGTATCACCCATCCAAGTCCAGACCCTTTTTTCAACTCATCTGCACTCGCTATTACATATTTGACTGTCTTTTCCGGCACGCCGATCAAATTTTCTATTATCTAGTCCAGCTATCTCATCAAAATGAAGTTCTCCACCACTCTGATTGCCTTCGTTGCCGCCGGCCTCGCCAGCGCCCAGCTGCCCGATGTGCCCGCCTGCTCGGTACGAAAGACAGCCAATGCCCACATCAAAATAACATATTCACTAACACTTACCTCTAGCTGAGCTGCTTCCTCTCTGCCCTGCAGAGTGATGGTTGCTCCGAGCTGCTCGACTTCAACTGCCACTGCCAGAAGCCCGAGCTCGTGAGCAGCATCACTCCTTGTGTTCAGAAGGCCTGCGAGGTCAAGGACCAAATCTGTATGCTAATACCCCACCTACTTCCCCCCAATTCCAACATTCCACTAACACACTCATTCAGCCGTCTCCAACGCCGTCGTCGGCCAGTGCTCTTCCGCCGGCCACCCCATCTCGATTCCCCCCATCGAGACCAGCGCTTCCTCCAGCGCCTCCAAGGCCTCCAGCACCTCGAGCTCCGCCCCCGCTGAGACCACCGCCGAGACCACCGCCTCCGCTACCCCCACCGCCTCCACCAGCGAGAGCTCCAGCGCCGTTGAGTCCTCCTCCTCCTCCGCTGTTGAGACCGGCAGCTCCACCACCGGTGCCGCAGGTACTACTACCGCTGCTTCCACCCACGTCAGCTCCTCCGGTACTGCCACCTCCACCCCGCTGACGACCACTACCGGCTCAGCCACTGCCTCTACCTCTTCGCCCGCCTTCAACGGTGCTGCGAATGTGAAGGGCAACATGGCTGGTGTTGCTGCCCTCGCCGCTGCTGCCGCTTACATCCTGTAAATATATCTATACCTAATCTAAGGCTTTTTTCGGTGTTGGCGACTGGCTTTTGTTGGCAGATGGGATTAGCTTCCTCTTTTTAGCTGGCTAGGTTGGTTGTGCGAAGACGCGTGAATGGGGTCACCTCCCTGTATAGTTGACTTGCTTAATACAATGCACGTCTTGGTTTTACCTCTTTGGTAAAACAGATGTTTTATGATTTTATCTCTGTCTGCTTGCGCCTTGTAATGGTTACAACTTTTAGGCTTTATATCAAACGACGTATCTCAATGGATAATTTACAAAATGGAGCTTGGTGCTATCACTACAAATTATATGTATGTATTCTAGAAAAATGTATTACGGCGCCAATTGATAAGCTTCTCACTTTGCAAAAGACTCCCGAGGTCTCTATGAGCTAAATAATGGGCCGTACCTGTCCATAGACGAAATAACCTAAATTGATAATATTGTTTCACTTTTTGATAAGAGATTGGGCACTCAAGCGCAGGTGGCGTTCGGCTTGCTAATGACAAGGATGAGAGTGCAGCCGAGCGTGTTACTTTCGAAAGTGGTGAGAGATAGTCGACTTCGCTTTAACTTCGTTCTGTAATTATTTCCTAATGGCTACTTTTGGCGCTATCTCAAGTGTTCGAAATCGCAGTGATAATACTCTTACGGCTATATTTGAGTCAATAGGAATCATAACGAGTAATCCATTATATACCACTGAAAGAATTCTCCGAAATCATCACAGCAGGGCAGCCATTGCAGCAGCAACCATGGGAGCAGCTGTTATTAAAGCACCGACAGGTCCAGCAGCACCGCCGGTTGACTGAGTTGTCTCGACAGATGTGGTCGAAGATGTGGTCGAAGAAGTTCTCGTAGTTGTCTGGGTTGGCCCGGTCAGGATAACCGAATCCAATCCGGCGGTTACCGTCAACTGGTAGTATGACTCAGACATCGGCGCTGTGGTGTAGGTCGCCTTGCTGGAGGTGGAAGACGCATATTTCCCTCCATTAAAGGATCCGTTCACACCCAAACTCATGGTACAGCTGGCAGACTCCGTTGAAGCTTTCAGAGAGCACTCGTAGGATTGGGTGAGAGTGAGATCATAGCTGGTTGACTTGCCCGAGGTGGTTGCTATATATTCTCCGGTGACGCTGACTGTCTCAGGGCCTTGGATGATCGTCCACGAAGCGGGATAGTCGCAATCTGTCTTAGGAGCGTCTTTCACACAGCCGACATGGTATGTGGCGGCTTTGGTGTTATAGGTAACAAGGCTGGCGGCAGTGCTTGTCCAACCCCCGTACTGGAGAAAGCCTGCATCCCAAGAAGGAGAGAAGTAGCCAATGATGGCGCTGCTGGTGTCATCGGCTTGGGTACCGAGAGTAGCAAGGGCCGTAGCGAGGAAAATTGAGGTACGCATGTTGAAAGGTCTCAGACACGATGAAGTGGGAAACCCAGGGGAAGGTGCAGAGAGATGAAGTTACAAAATGCAATTGACGAAAATGTCCCTTTTAATGAAAGGAACTAACCTATTTGGTTAGCCTATGGCGCTTTGCTCAATTGGTAGCGGAAGCCGAGACTGCGAGGTAGCATATCTCGGAAAACATAATCTTACAATGGCCCCCAATCGTACTGAGTCACTTTGCCCTGATCATTCATTGGATGTTGGAGCGCTGTGGCTAACCAGAAGTTGTGCTAGTAATCCGCTATATCATTAGCGCAGACAGGAAAGGTTAGTGAATTACCATAAGGGGCCATAGCAATTAGCTGATTCTTGAACCTCTGTCAATTTCGAGAGGACCGTGGGGCTTATCATCAAGGTCCAAAATATTCATAGCCCGATCTCCTATGTTGTAGGAAGTCGGGTTATTCAAACTAAGTACGGAGATATATTCTACCGTACCTCCAGCAAGTTTTGGCATGGAGCTGGAGTGGGTCAGCCCCACTAAGTGCATGAACCGGTTATGCGGCTTCAATCCATGGATAGCGTCATGGTACGGTGATTGACTGTGGTCGAACTTTGACTACATTCCAGAACTTTATACTAAGTACGAAGTACTATCTTACAATTCTTTTTTCAAATTGAAATCTTCGTACTTCAAACCTCATGAGAAATTGCTACCCATTTACGGAGAATCCGTCATTTATATAGTATAAAAGTCGCCGGATTCTATACCGTGGAGCGTGCAACGCATCCAGCTAGGATTTCACCTTCCAACAGGCGTACATGCACTAGGGCAAACATCACTATATCAAAATCCTTAAATATTGCAGAATCGATTGTCTCCATGTCCTGGAGCTCTTCATTCTGTACAGGGTCTCCAGTAGTAGGACCCCGAAGAATGTCGACCTGCACCGAGTCAGCCAACCCGAAACCAACTGATTGATGCCCAGCCCCTGCAGACTAAGTCACTGCCAGAAGAGATGAGAACACTCTAGCTTCACAAACATTGGACCTGGCCGAGCATAATTTCCGCGTTGTCGTCATTATGATCATGCTCATTCGGGTTGTTCCTCCAACCGTCCATGGTGTCTGGATTCTTACTCCTGAAGTAAGCACTTATCTGTCTCTTCTTTTCTTGTTTCACGCCGGTTTTTAATCCGTATATACTGATTCACAAAGGTGTACGGCTACACATCTTCTGCTCACTTAGGTGGCGAAAAGGATGATGAAATCTAGGGACCCACCGAGGTAAGCACCACTACGTATTTCTACGTTGGACATTCCTTTCTCGTTTCACACTCTTTCTACTTTTTCCACGGATCGCCTATTCCAGCATTGCATACTTCGATATTCACTTAAAAATGTCAGACGCCAAGTCCAAGTTTCGCGATCTACCCCGCGCCGCGGGGCCCTTGATCTGCCCATACAAGGTACATCAGTCCGCATGATATTTTATGAACTCCGATTCTCATTGAAGAACTAGGGAACTGCTCTCCTCCAATCATCCCAACTCAACAAAGGTTCAGCCTTTCCAGACAATGAACGATCAACATTCAAGCTCCACAGTCTCCTCCCGCCAAACATCCAGACATTGGACGAGCAAGTTCAGCGCGCTTATGAGCAGTACAAAACCAGAGCTGATGACCTTGCCAAGAACACCTTCCTGGCTAGCATGAAGTCACAGAACGAAGTGCTGTACTACAAGGTTCTGACATCCTCCCGGCGAAGGCAACATCAGCATATTCATTATTGCTAACTTTTGAATAGCTCCTGCAAACCCACCTGAAGGAGATGTTCAGCGTGATATACACACCTACTGAAGGAGATGCAATTCAGAATTACTCGCGGTTGTTCAGGAAGCCAGAAGGGTGTTTCTTGAATATCAATGACCAGGATCACTTTGACGAGTACCTCGCTGGGTTTGGGACTGGAGAGGATGTTGATTATATAGTTGTCAGTGATGGAGAAGAGGTAACTATATATCTGCTTAAGAGAGGAGTAGTGTGTGACCTTGCTTACAATTAATCCGTTTGCAGATATTGGGCATTGGAGACCAGGGCGTCGGCGCTATTCTCATCTCGGTTGCCAAACTGGTTATTACCACACTTTGTGCTGGAATCCATCCTTCGCGGCAGCTTCCTGTTGTACTGGATTGTGGGACAGATGTAGGTCTACCTACTCTCTGGTTAAATGTACCTTTACTGACAACAAGCATAGAACGAAGAGTTGCTCAATGACTCTCTTTATCTAGGTCTCCGACAGCATCGGGTCAGAGGGGAGAAGTACGACGAATTTGTGGATAGATTTGTCAAGGCTGCCCGCAAACAATTTCCCAAGGCTTACATCCACTTGTATGAAAAATTGTCCTTCCTCTATTATTCGAAACGCAGCTAACAATATCAGTGAGGACTTTGGCCTTAATAATGCACGGAGAATCCTCGATAGGTATCAGTCGCAGATACCCTGTTTCAATGACGATATCCAGGGCACAGGGTGTGTCACACTCGCTGCCATGTTGGCTGCCCTTCAAGTCAGCCAAGTCAAACTGGAAGATGTGCGAGTAGTGATCTTCGGCTCGGGAACAGCTGGTACTGGCATTGCCGACCAGATCTCAGATACCATTGCCACCGAGACACGCAAGTCGAAGGATGAAGCATCTAAACAAATATGGTATGTAAACGCGAGACAGGGAGATACTACCCCTACTAACACTGTTCTTCTCGTCTAGGTGCATCGACAAACCCGGTCTTCTTGTAAAGTCCCTCGGTGATAAGCTGACCGATGGCCAGAAATCTTTCGCACGAGATGATGACGGGTGGCCGGAAGATGATCGGGATCTTTTGTCGGTCATCAAAAGAGTCCATCCCCATGTGCTTATCGGGACATCGACCAAGCCTGGAGCATTCACTGAAGATATCGTTCGTGCGATGGCCAGGAAGGTGGAACGACCAATCATCTTCCCCCTCAGCAATCCTACACGACTCCATGAGGCGAAACCGGTCGATCTCTACGAATGGACCGATGGGCGCGCTCTAGTTGCCACGGGTAGTCCATTCCCGCCAGTTACTCACAACGGCACGAAATATGACATCGGTATGTATTCCAATCTCGCCTCAGACATTGAATGCTCAGTAAATTAATCATGGTCTTCCAGCGGAATGCAACAACTCGACATGTTTCCCAGGCATTGGTCTTGGGGCAGTTCTGTCGCAGTGCCGTCTTGTATCCAAGAAAATGCTAGTAGCTGCGGTGGAGGCACTGAAGGCACGGTCACCAGCACTGAAAGACTCCGATAAGCCGTTGCTACCCGATGTAGAAGACGTGCGTGAAATCAGTGTGGATATTGCTGCAGCTGTGATATTGTGTGCTGTAGAGGAGGGACTAGCACAGGCGGAGGGTATTCCTACCACCGACTCGGAGTTGCGGGAGTGGATTCGGGTCCAGATGTGGGAGGCTGAGTACCGACCTATAGTCTATAAGAATTAGTACCAGGGTTTTATTGGCATGTAATGTGGTGGTTTGGGAGGTGAGATACTTTGCCCTTTTTCCTTTTTATGGCAATGTTTCATCTTCCATTTCCCATGCATGGCTCCCTGCTCAACTAGCAAGAGAAGTGTTATTCACAACTAGTCCCATATCATGTTGTGTTTCTTGGCCTGAGGCCCCATCAGAACCTAGATAGTTCCTCGATGTGTTCTCGTCATACCATAGGAATCGTATGCTGTCTCTTCTCTTCATTATGTAGCGATGTCTATATTTTACCCGAACTTGGTATCTCCAACATCCGGGTCTTCGTCTATTTGTTTACCTAGTGATTTTTTGCAATAATCTCTACTATGTTGAATAGACTAGCCGATTCACACATGCGTAAACCTCAAGATATGCATATTTTAAGGACGTGTATTTAGGATCATTTCGAAGCAGGCGCAGGGAATGAACGTATGGAATGATCGATCTTGAATATGTCATACAACCGAGCCCAGAATTGCTCTCGTAAATGTATACAACGAGAAAATAGAAAAGTAACGGTCTGAAAAATTGCTATACGAAGCAAAAGTCATGATGCAAATGTGATATGTTACAAATTGTTCAATAATATGGAACCTATATGAGCCAAAGACAAAAAAGAAACATGCTAAAAAACCGAGCTAAAAAAAAACCGAGCTATTGAAATAGGTAGACTTAGGGAACCCAGAGACGCATGAATCCTACGACTTCCTGGCGACAAGTCACGCAGCTGCCGAAGTTGTTCATGGCAAGACTAACGCGACAGTCCTCACAAATGCATAGACATCGACAGGGCCAGGTAATGATAGCCCGTGGGCTTGTCTGGCAAACTACACAGGGCGGACCATTGGGGCCAAGGCCTGTTGCGCCGGATTCCCACGTATGAGCATCTGCACTCCCCGATGTTTCCGAGCGACGCGAAAGAATGAGCTTCTCGAGAAGCTCGGCTTCCTCTTCGGGGGTAGGTTTCCGCCCTTCGGATCCTGATTGCATGGCGTTGAGCTGCTGGAGGCGGGATGAGAAGATGATCCGGGATCTCTCCTTTTCAACCTGTTTCTGGTAGCGACTGCGTGTCATTATCTGTGAATCGTCCTGGTTTGTTTTGAGATGAGCAGCTAAAATCCTGGCCTCCTCTCTACTTTCACGATCGCGCGGGTCAAGAAGACGGGCGAGTGTGCTCATGTCGATCAGGGGATCTTGGAGTGGCGGGCTTGCTCTATCTGCATACGGTTCGAGCTGAGTAGGAGTTCGACGACCATCTTCTGATCGGGAATCCTCCCATTCTGACTCTGAAGCATTGGTAGACATGGACACGACGCTTGTGGTGTCGAAGTCATCAGAGGGTGGGGAATAGTCAGATGTCTGATCTTGGTTTCCCCATGCACCGCCAATTTTCCACCAGCTGTACAATCTGTCGTCTAAACGGCTTTCATCCGAGCCCATCCAGTCTGGCCGATTCGCGCGCTCTCGCTTCCTCATCTCGATCTCGACGTCAAAGTCATGGTCATCGGGGAGCTCAAGCTCCCCATTTTCAGAGAGGATCCAGAAATCTAATGGCTGTGATGGGTTCGTCTTGTCGATGTTGGACTTCTTTCCACGATGGCCCACAATTCGTTTAAGCCACATTGGCCGGGCGCTTATTCTCAGCCGATCAAGCACATTATTAAGCCCATATGCAGCCCAACGGAGCATTATGAGAGAAATTGCGCGGAAAAACGACAGGACATGCCACAATCTAATAGATACTCGCACTGCTCCAACTCCACCAAGCTCGGCTCGAGATTGCACGGCTCGAGCACCGTTCTTGGGTTTCTCGACCTTCTTTTCGCGGTTGTAACCACTCTCCCAAACCGATTGTTCCGGCATGTCGAAACTTGAGAAACCCATAGCTTCGATAGGCCGACTGCTGGTTTCAGTTTGCCAATTCCCATAGGATGTAGACTTCCGCCTCGAAGCTTCAATCTCAGAAAGGCGATCCTCTTCCAGCCACGTCATCCGCCGTGCAACGACTGATTGGCCCTCATTCAAGAACACAGCCTCACTTGCCGCGGTTAGCGCAACATAGCCAATTCGAAGCAATGTTGTATAAAAGTCTTCGTGTCTGTTTATACGAATGCTTCTTATCTGGTTCGAGCCTTGCATATTCTCATGTGCCATCAAGAAACGGTCATAGAGTGAGACAGGCTGATCGTCCGAAGGCAGCGAAACAGCGGTGATGGTAAGTGCTAAAGTGTATATTGAGAGACAAATCACAATGCCGCCCAATAAAAAGATATGAGGGATAAATCCCACAATGCAAACAGTCGGGAACCTGAGAACGCCAGTTTCGAGGCTGACGGGCGGACCGCCATCTAACCCCCACGACATGGCTACCATGAAGCAAGCACCCCAGAAGGCGGTGCTGAAAAGGCGATACCTGTTCTGCTTCCCGAAGACTTCTAGTATGTGGGAAGTTGCACTATTGCAGCAAGAGATCAATACGATAAGAAGAAGTTCGGGTGTGACATTCATGCGTTCCAAGACTTGCGATCTTGTAAGGAGTGCAAACACCGAAGATGAGCTGTCGTCAGACGCACCTGAAAGCGCACTGAGGGGGCTTTGTTTAGGAAGACCGAACAGACCTAGTCCGATGGATTTACTGATCATCGACTCGGCTTCTGCGAAGGCGATAGAGTGTTCGAAGATGGACATCCCCGTCTCGGTCATCACAGGCCTGCCTTGCAATGCACACGAGAGTGTTTCAATAAAGTGACTCAAGCAAAGAAGCATGAATGTGGGCCAAAGTAGGGAGAATGATCCATATGGGACACCAGGAGTGGTTCCGCGCGCCATCTTCACAGCACTGCACGACCGTTCCTCGGACTCCCATCCTAAAAGGGCCGAGCTAATCGAGTGAAGAACACCTCCGTCACTAGAATAGTCGAACACGAGTTGCTTTCCGGGGTATCCGTAGCGCATTGTTGAAAAAGACGGCGATGTCTGACATCGGATCCCACGGAGCAGGCTGAGGATTTGAGAAGCGAAGAGAACGATAGGGATCAATCGGAGAGCCGCACGCCTTTCCCACCCTAGTCGAAGGTGTCGCCGCGTGGATGCATAGATAGTAATTCGGTTGAGGATGAGCGCCTAGACCTATCAGCATGGTAAGTATATAAATCGAGAGTGTGGTCTCACCTCCACTAGACATGCAAATGACCAAAGACTTGTCAGATACCCAAAAAATCCACCAAGCTTCTTCATGGCACCCAAGAACTCCGCAATGTAGTAGCCACTCTCCTGGCCGGCTGCATCGGCCAACTCATTTCCAGTCATATCCGCGGCATGTGCTGCGGCCGTACCGCTCGCTCCGGCTGCTGAACCAGCCCCACTCCAGATGGATTGGCCAAGGGCTTTAATTCCGGTTATTCTAGCGAGGGTTTGGGGAACCGTTCGGAAGGCAAAGGTCTCGGCGTGTTGAAAGGCGCGAAGGGGAGAGGTCAAGAGTTGATGTGGTAAAGAGGACAAAGAAGAAGTTTCCGGTGACAATGTTGTATTCAAGTGTTGTAATAAAGCCGTGCTAGGAGAGGTTGGTATTGTGGAGGGTTCCACGATGCCTGACATGATGAGGCGGTGTTGTATGCGCCTCTGCGGGTGACCCTTATCAGTGATCCGGGGGAGATGCAATCAACACAGAAGGCAGTGCATTTGACCGTTGGCTTTAGAATAGAATATTCAATAGTCGAAGGTTGTTCTGACTAAACTAAAGACCACAGTGAGCAATACTCCTGTGAACTGCATCCCGCAAATCAAAATGTATGAAAGAGTGATCTTCACAATGGCGGGCACTTCCTTGGAAGTTCACGGTGGAGCCGGCCCCAGCCCTCGGTATTTGTTATTTGCTGACTCAGCCTTGTAATTCCCAGCCCAGGGCTCTAGCCTCCAGCTTCAAGTTGATACTTACACTCTAGCCATCTAACCATAGAGTCTATAATATTGATATGGTTTTTTATTCAGTTTGTCTCCTATGATCCAAACCCTTTGCCAGTGGTAGATTGACAAGCGCGTTATCATTGGACGTTTTTCAATCTGCCATCATCTTTAGACAAATTCGGCCATAGATGTATTAACCGTTTGCAAATGCTCAGATGGGATAAGATGCCTTCTGCAGAAATCCAGGGTACTGATACAAAAAAGAAGAAAAATAGTTGCATAACGTTAGATGTATTCTATCCCATAGAATACATGCCATGACATAATGCCAGGACCAAGCCTATGTATGTGAGCTAGTCTGGAACTCCCCATTGGTATTGTCGTAAAAGTCGAGTGTTTTGTCGTTGCGCCGTGAATCATTTCAAAAACGATGCGAGTCGAAACAAGAATGAATGCCAAAGGTCTCAGCCAGGAGGGTGACAAGAAACCAAAAGCACAAGGCACCGCGTGCAGATCAAGTATTCAAGAAATCAGCCGCCATCAGGAGCTCCAGGCACAACTCGGGTGGGATATCCATGTCCGGCACGTTGACCTGGTCCTTGTGCTTTTCATTGTAGCAAAGGTATTCGCAGATCTTTTCGACAATGATACCACTGCAAAGGAATAACTTCATTAGCGATATCCACCAAAAGTAACGAGCAATATCAACACAGAACATACGAGAATTCCTCTAATATATATTCACCTTTCAGACCCTCGGGGAAATTGGCTGTTGGTGGTTAGCACAACCCATGCAGCAATGGATCTCGAGTCCACGTACTCGAAGAAAGCCCGGTGCGTAAGGTCTCTGAGACATAAGCTGCGCTGCGAGGGATAATGAATTCAAATCCGTCATTTGAGACTATAGTCACAAACTCAGAATCCGTGGATGGGGCCATGATAAAGCACGCGTATTCGCGTAATTGTAGGAAGTCGACTACTGTGGAGCGAAAGAACCTTCGGAGGTTGGCGTGTTGGTCCGTGCTGAAGCTGCCCAGTGACGCACCTGATCCTCCCGATATCGCGTTTTGCTTGGAGTTCAGACACAGTAAAACAATATGAGCTGTTCGAAAGTTCCTCAGATTCACTTGCGAGTGCCAATCTTATTTCATCAAACCTCTTTAAGGCCGATCAATATACGCAATCTAGGCTACGTCAACAGCCTAGTGTCAAGTCATCCTCTGGGACATACAAGTCGATTATACTCATCTCAGCCAAATGAGAACAATCACATTTCATTTCAGTCTGGAAACCGACTTGCCGGCCGAAAATGCATGATCACCGGTGGGACATCCGGCATCGGCTTCGCCATTGCCGAACGATTTCTACAAGAAGGCGCATCGACCATAGTCCTCGTCGGCCGATCTCAAACACGCCTAGAGGAAGCAGCCGCAAAACTTGAGTCACTGGCAGTTACACTACCAGATCTCGGTGAAAGCAACAATGGAATTGCAACTCGTGCCCCGGAAGAAGACAACCAGCAAAGCACGCAAGGAAAGATCCGTCTACTTGTGGGAGACGTCTCAGATGCCGGGTCATGGATGCGAGAACTCGAAAAGGAAATGGTAGCTACCTTTCCAATCTCAACAAATACTCTCCCCCTAACCATTTTTTAGGCAAATGTAGACATCCTAGTCAACGCAGCAGGAATTTCGATATCAAATATTCTACCAAGATCCGAGCTGGAAGATATCTCCACGATCTTACGTACTAATCTCGAGGGCGCAATTCTCACTTCCCGCGCCTTAATGCGCGCCTCAATCAGGAGCCGGATACGGAATCGAAGTGATCCAGCTGCCGGAATCAAACCCCCGTCAAAATGCATTATTAACGTATCTTCTTTACTCGCGCTCAAGGGCGGAACTGGCGCAGTTCCATACGCTGCCTCCAAGGCTGGCCTTCTCGGTCTGACACGGTCATTGGCAGTTGAGGCCTCGGCTTCGATGAAAGATATTGTCATTCGGTCAAATGCTATTGTGCCGGGGTATATTGAAACACCCATGGTTGCAGGTATGTTGGTTTGGGCATTCTATATTTGTTTCTGCGTTGACCGATATCGATACTAGATTTCACGCCCGGGGAAACGAGCAGGCTGAAGGATCTCATTCCTCTTCATCGATTTGGAGATCCACGCGAGATTGCTGATGCGGCTGTGTTCTTAGCGCAGAATGAATATGCCAACAATTGTGTACTCAATCTCGATGGTGGATTGAGTGCCATTTAATTCCCGAGGTCGGCTCAAGTGAAACGTGTAATACCAATGGAGAGTGTGTATTTGTAAAAAGCCCCTACATGTATAAAATGAACTTTTCCCGTGATGCAATATCCTATATATCACAACGCTCAAACAGCTGGAACAAATATATCAATCAAACCAACTCCAGCATTGATCTTAACAAATGCGGTGCTAACTGTAGCACTTCGCGTCGCAGATACTAAAGTGACCGATTCTCCTTACACAGTAGCACTCGAAGAACTTGGATCTCGCTTAGGGTTCTCAGGCGAGCCGACCCGTTTCCAAAAAGAAAACACCGTGTAGTTGAATATCTCGCACACGTCAACCCCCAATTACTTACTTACTACATTCCTTCAACTAATAGTTCGCCAATTTCTGCAGGAATCAGTCCGAGTTTCATAATTCGCCCAGGTGGCCGGGTTGTTATTCTCAGGTCATATTCTAGTAATCTATCAACCTGGAAAACGCCATCGAGCAGTTAAGATACAAAAGCCCCATAATGCATTATCATGTTCATATCCAAAGCATGCCCGTCAGCTTGGGATTTTGAACCCCTCCGGTTGACAGAAATCAGGTTCGCCTTTATGCCATATGATACAGAAGGGTTTGAAGGGGGTAGGTAGTAAGCAAATAGAAAAGAGGAATACCGAAAGTATGAAGAGAATAATATCAAGATAAACAGCTGTGATGGCTGCTAGTAATACCTTGAGATGCGACATGAAAGTAGGTTCTTAGCATTCAATCGTCGATCATGATGGCACCCCCCTCGTCATCGTTGGCATCATCGTCAAGAACAATAGCTTCAATACCCTTCGAGTCAGGAACGGATGCACTGGCGAGCCGTTTAACATCGTGGCTGCTGCGCTCCACCTCGTCACTTGAGCCCTCGCGCTTGCGCTTCCCAGTCACAGTTGCATCGTCGGTGATTGTTAGATCGGGAGAAGGCTGCGTAGGTTTCTCGGGCTTTAGAGGTATCTCAACCATCTTCTGCAGCGTTGCAGGTTTGGAGTCCTTTGAGGATGGCTCATTTCTGTAACTCAATCAGTCAGTATTGCTCGGTATTGTTCGAAAAATTAGCGCTTACCTATCAATGATCACCAGCTCGAGATTGATTCGTTCTGGCTCATTCTCATCGTATACCGTGATGAAGCTCTCATTCTTAATGCCAAGGTCAAACAACTTTTTCTTTAGATTGTCGGTGAAATCGGGGTCGTAGATCGATTCACTGCCAAACCCAATAGAAACGTCTTCGCCATAACCTAGCTCCGTCTGAAGAACGCCTTGGATGAGGTGTTCAAGGGTTGCTAGCTCGGGGTCAATTTCGACCCGAGCCACCACAGGGGAACAGACAGGGCACTCGGGGTTTGGGGGGTTCAATGAGTCTGAATTGATCACTCGAGCACCGGATCTCTCTAGGAAAACCTTCCAACGCGATGGCTTGTTAGCTTTGGTAGAAGTGAGCACATTTATTCAATTCTTACCATTTTAGCCTGCATCAAGTTGTTCTGAAACACCTTCAATGACTGAAGAACACATAGTCCAGCCGTCATGGCATTGGTGGTCGCAATGGCAGGAATGATGTTGCCGGCCATCTCTGTAAAAGCTTGGTCAATAATGATCGCCTTGAAATTTGCACCCTTATTTGATAAACTCACGCTTGACATCGAATTTAGATTTGAGCTCAAGGTGGAAGATAGCAGCTCGCAGATTGGATGTTGCGGTAACGAAGTCCAAAGTATCCACATCATCTTTATCGAATGTCAAGATCGGGGAATCTTGGTCTGGGAGGTTCTTTTCTTGAAGCTGCTTTAAGCGATGGGCCAACCGGTTCAGGCTGTAGCATGTTAGTTTATCGAACGTATGCTGCCGGCGACAGACAGTTCCCACCTATCCCTGAAAACACTGAAATTCTCCCCCAATGTCCATACTTTCTGGTCATGCGTAGAGATTGTCGAGGCAATTGAAGCGGATTCTTCTTGGAGTTGAGCAAAATCAAGGAGCTCTGGTAGCTCCCTTTCCTTCCACATTTCCTTCATGCCCTGTAATCGTATTATGTCCCTTTTGAAGACCTTATCAAAGACCTTCTGGTGGGCTTCCTCGGTGCCAATAGATTGTCGTAACTCTTTAAGCTCCAATGCTTCCTTGCGCAAGTCTGCAATTTCGGTTTCTACCAGGATGTCAGTTCCAGCGCCGAGTTATAGATTACATTAGACCAACCGTTCTCGGCATTTTCTGTGTTGTCCACCTCCGGCGCCTCGTCTTCGGTATCGCCAAAAAGTTCCCTACTCAAATGTGAGCATCCAACGCAGGAATATCGGGGGATGAATCTTACGGCAAGAGGAAGCTCTTCGCCCAAACGATACAATGAATCGGCTGGCTGGGGTTGCTGCGGATTGTACACACGGGGAACGACTTGGGAGATTCTTTTGGGGTGCAATCATAGCACTCGGTTTGTGACTAGTGAAATACGCAGTCAATAATCGCCCAATTTCCCGAGCCAGGCATCGTCTTCATTGCATACCTTCTGAATGACTTGAACCTGGCCATTGAAGCCAGTAGTTCCACTTTCGATCAAGGGTACATTGGCTGCAAGGCACATCTTATTCACATGACGTCTTGCGGCGATGTTATCCAGCGCATTAAACACGACGTTGAAGGACTCAAACCACGAGATGTTGAATTGGGCATCCATAATGTTCGCATGGTAGGCCTCGAGCTTTGTGTCAGACCGGAACTTTTGCGCAACTTCCTTGGCAACCTAAATGAAAGTATCCATATCTCAGTATTCCATATCTACTATCGCTGAACCGTTCACGCAATGCGAATGCGCGGCGCTTGGCACGGGGGAATTCGCAAGGGAGCGGCGCAAGTGCGCAGGGTGGGTCGGTTTGACGTACTAATGCCTTCGATTTCTTGATATGCTCATGTCGAAAAAGGAACTGACGATTGAGATTGCTCAAATCAATTGTGTCAAGGTCGATAATGTGGATTTCGCCGAAGCCGGTGAGGACGAGGTTTTTCAGTAGCTCGCAGCCGATGCCGCCTGCGCCGACAAGAAGAACGCGTGACTATACAAGATTTGAGAACGGTCAGGCTATAATTTCAAGTCGACATCACTTGGATGTTGGGATTGCACGCCAGCAGGGTGTACTTACCTCTTTGAGGGAGCGGGTGAGGTCTACCCCGAGAGAGCGCTTAAGGGAGCTATCCCGCATGGCGGGCAGTAGATGATGATCGCGATCAGGTAGAGGTGTATTGTTGTAGTTGTTGAGTGGTGCAGCGGTGTAGTAATGTAGTGATGTGTTCTAGAGATAAATCGCGAAGGGGGAAAAGGTCAAAGAAGGGAGCAAGTGAAAGAAGTGAGCCGGAAACAGTGACCGTTGACGATGACGGCACTTGCTAAGGAGCCTCACACGTGGGTTTCCACTTACTTTTGGTCTACACCTTTTTTTTATTTGGCTTTATGTTTTTTTTCTTTCTTTTTGTGATCAAAAGAATAAAATGTATGATATAGAATGTAATTGACGTTATTTTCTGATCTTGTAATCTTCTCTAGTGAATCTTTGCATTCCGGTAATGTATAGAAGTAGGGTGCATATAATAATATACCATATGCCCCAATCGCCATCTTGTAAAAGACGAACGAACTTCATTTTGATAAAT